ATCCTCCCCTTTAAGCTTTCTCCCTTTGCCAGTTCCCAGAGGGCAGAAGGCAAAATATAGGGACGCAGGTGGACAGATACCCTGGCACAGGAGAGGTTGTTATTGTGACCTGGTAGCCTTTCCTAGACAGATGGGCAGGGAGTGCAGGGGTGGGATAGGAGATGTCATTAAGTTAAGGGGAAACTCAGGCCCTAAAAATGTTAGGATTAGGAAAGGACCATGATCAGAGTCCTTACTCCTTAATGGGCAAAGAAGATCAGTAGTGAGGGGAAAAGAGGAGGGTGCTCTAAGCTCAACAAAACCCATTCTGGGTTAGAGAACTGGGGGGTGTCTCCTAAAACACGCAAAAGGTGTCATTAAGAACAGACACAAAAGGAGCTAGTCTCACACTGACACATGCCTCTTACATTCACACACTTGGGCTTCCCCAGCTGCTAGAGGTAGGGACACACTCTTCCTCTCCACCCCCTTCTCTCAGTACAGCCAATGGTACCTAGCCTTTCCACACCCATTCTCAGACACCTGAATACAGAAGCATAGAGGGCAGAGCACAGGCCACAAACCAAGTCTTTCAACACAATCCCTGTATACACAGTTATGCTGAGGCACACAGTTCCTCTCACAAAAAAAGCAAAAACACATGCCCATATCTGGCACACATTTCTGTTTCCTCCCCTGTTCCACTTTCTTGTCTCTCTTCTTCCTTTTCCTCTTCTCTCTTTCCCTTTCTTTATCCCAACAGATTAAAGTTAGGAGGAAGAATGAAGAATATGGAATAGGGACATGCCAAACTCCTCTTGTGGGAAGAATCAGGCTAATGGGTGGGATGACATGGTTTTCAGAAACCTAGGCAAGCCCCTGTACCCACAGGGATTGGCACTACTCCCAGCTACCCCTAGAGAGAAGCACACATGAATACCCCTGACCCTGATGCCCACAATTAAAAACCGTCAGAATCAAGGCGTGTGTGTCATGTGCTTTCCATAAGTGCCTGGTAGGCAGTACCAACCAGAATTGGCACTGTGCCCAATAGCTGCCCAGCAAACAGGCAAGAGCTGACAGTGTTGTCCCTGGGCTCCCCTATTCCCCTAGGGGACCTCCTCTCCCTCCTAAGCAATCAGAAGATAAATTAGGCCCCTTGGGGTAGTTTGGATGGAACTTCACAAACACTCTCCCCTTCCCTCTCCTGAGAGCTTCTTATGGTTTTTCCCAAGACAGATGGCTGTAGTGGAAGGAGAACCGGACCAGGCAATAGATCTGAATTCAAGTTATGCTAGTGACACTTAGCACTATCTATGTGCTAGTTATTTCTCTGGGTCTCAGTTTCTTCATGCATAAAATGATAATAACACTTACATGACCTCCCTTGAAGGATTGTTGGGAGAAGACCATTTTTGTAAAGATTAAAATATTGTGGCAATAAGATGTTGTCATTTTGTTTTTTAACTGGTGCCAACCATCATATAGCTTACCTCTCAGGGGTCCAAGACCTTCAGCTATGGAGCCTCACTTCTTTCCTTATTCCCACTTTCATCTCTTCTAGATGATAAAGATATCTGTGCTAAGGAGAGAAGGAGGCCCTTTTCTATAACCTCTAGGGGTTTGGGCTCATTGCCATAAGGTTTAATATCTCTCTATGAGGGTGGAGATTTCCTTGGGCTTGGTCTCATAATTAACTAATTTAGGTCCTTCTTTCTAGGACCTGAGCTCTTCCCTTGTAGAGTTTTGGCCTTTTTCTCCAAAGTCTAAGACTTTCCCTATAAGGTCTGGGCATCTAACTATGAGAATATCTGCCTTAACCATCCTCAGGCCTTCTTTACCTCTGACCTTTCAGACTCCAAAACCTTTAAGGCATTCTCCCATTTCCCTAGCCTCCCAGCTAAAAAGGTGAGATTCTGCTTTCTGGTGGTCTCCCTAGCTTAGTGCCTAGAGTCACAACGAGGTGAGCAGGTCTATGGAAGAGGGAAGCTCTCTGGCTGGCTGGCATGGCCAGACACAGCTCCTGGGACAGCGGGTGGCAACCGCAGAGCTGAGCCATGTTCAATAAATCATAGAGGCTGGGGCCTGGGGGAGGGGGGAGGCTAGGGGGAAGGGGGGGGGCTATAGATAAATAATTCATTAAACAAATAAACACAGGCGCTGGAGAGAGAGAAGAGCAGGCAAGAGTGTAAGCAGGAGAGGCAGCCGCCAGCTCTAGGCATGAAATATTCAAAGGTTCTGCACCTCCAACACAGGACCCACACATGCTTACCAACACACAACCACATGTGTGTGTCATAATATGGAGATGTGTTCCAACAAGAGAAGCACATGTATCCCCTGACACTAAGACGTATATTCAGAAAGCCATGTGGGTTCTAATAAACATAAGTGTATCTTGACTTGGATCTATACACATACAAACATTAGCATGAAGAACATGTGTGTATAATATGTATGTCTCCAGATTTAGGAAGCAGAGAATTTTCATACAGAAATGGGTGGCTGCCAAGTGTGTGAATGTGTGTGAAAGAGACAATAACACAGAGACTGAGAGACAGATTGGGATCTTTTGCTTCTAGTCATTATCAACCCTCCCACAAAGGACTTTAAAAAAATTAAGATTCCTAGAGAACAGGCACCTAGAAACCTAGAGAATGAAGAAAAAGGATGGCATATCTGGAAAGTGGAAGATGGCATTTACAAGGTGGTAGAGTTGAGTTTGGAGCAATGATAGCTCACAGTAACAGAAATTTAAGGTTAATAAAGCACTTTTCTCATAATAGCCTCATGAGGAACCGGTAAAGGTTTTATTGTCCCCATTTTGCAGATGAGAAAACCAAGACTCAGAAATGGTAAGTTACTCATGCGGGGACACAACTAGTTTCTGCTATTGCTAGGATTTTAACTCATATCTCTTCTAGCTTCAGGAAGTTGGAGAGTAAGGAGATAGAAAGGAAGGATAGGATTTGGGAGTGGGGAATTAACCACTGCTATTATGGTTAAGGGACTACTAACATTCCTTAAAATTATTCTGAGGACCTAACTAATTCTTCTAAGATCCTTTCTTTTTGGATCTCAATATTACTTCAACTGCATTTCTCCTTTGCTCTTTCTGAATTTTCCTAATGGATATGATAAGGTGATACATAGTAGATGGACTAGGTCCCAGAGAGACACTGGAGAAAGCCCTAGCTGTTTGGGTTCCCTATTCCCTGATTCATTCTACTTCATCAAATCCCATTCTATCCCCTACAAAAATTACTCCTCCTAACTCTCTTCTCAGGATACTTCTACCCCTAGTAAGGCTTTTCGCATCTCCCTTGACACCTCCTCTCCCTGCCCAAAATCATCACAGCAAATGGTTAGAGGGCAAATGAAGATGGGGGAATCAAAGAAAAAGAAGAGGGATCTCTGTAGTAGCACAAACTCCACTCCATCCCACCCAGTTCCCTGAGTGTGCCCTGGCTAAGGGTCTCCAAGTAGAGCTTGTCGTGTGAAGCCTGGGAGTGACAGCTAGGGATGGGTGGGGAGAATTTAGGTCTGTGAGGCAGGTAGAGAGAAAGGGGAGGGGGAGCGGATTGGGACATTGGATTGCTCCTCAGGCTCCTTCCCAGACTGCCCCAGCATTCCCCAGTCTCTTGTCTCACTTGGAAAGGATCTGTTCCCCTGGGGAGAGAGCCAAAAGAGGACTAGTTTGTACAGGTCCCAGTTCCTCAGCAGACAGACAAGTAGCAGAGTAGGGGGAAGGGCCCCCCAATTTTTTCCTGGGGAAATAGGATCCTCCATGCCTTCTTCTCCTCCAACTCTATTTTTGAGGGAAGGTATAAGAAGATGTGACATGATTACAGAGCCAAGGAAACCTCATTAGAAACATCAGGTCATATCCCCATTCTTTTCTACCCACACAGAGACCTTGGAATGTTTTGGAAAACAAGGTCACATATGAGGACTACCATCCTCTCTTCTTCACATCCCAGCCTAAGGTCTGACAGCAGGGCTCCTCTCACCTCCCATCCCCTGGGTCTTCCCTGACTTCTCCTGACTTCTCCTCCCTCATATTAGGCAGATTCAGACCAACTCATGCAAGATCTTCACAGTAAAGAATCGATTTGTAATAAAACCGACGTCATGTATTGGAGTCAGCAAAAGATATTCCAGAGACAGAGAGGCCAGGCAGTCTTGACATGGACACAGACATAAATGTATAGATTCAGACACTGACAGAGACAAAGTTGCACAAGGACAGACAGAACAGCCCCAGATGCACAATTAAGCTGAGACACACAATCACACATTCACAGTCACACTGAGAGATACACAGTGATAAACACACAGCATGAGGATTCACACTATCTTGGCCTCAACCACACATTCCCTACACCCCCCCCCCCAGGCCCCTCTCTGGCTCCCTGTCATGATCCTTTAGGTGCCTAGTCTGCCTCTAGACACCCTTAGGCTCACCCCACCCCCCTCCTCCCACCCTAGTCTGGACCACAGATTCCAGTTCCACCTGAGGGCTGATGCTTTGAGAGTTAATGACAGCTCATTGGTGCTTAATTGAGGAGGAGGGGGAAAGGAAACAGCCTTGGCACAATATAGAAGGGTGGGGACTGACCCCTACCAGAGTGGGGCATCTAGGGTAATGATGTGTATGGCCCTGGGAGTTGACTCTGGGGAATATTCTCTGGCCCTGCCTTCTCCAATCTAAGTTGAGTAAGTCCTCCTACCCCCAAGAACATTTATTTTACCAGTTAAAACTCCAGACATCTCTGACTACCCCTCCCCCATCCATGCCCAAAGAGAATAAGGGCCAAAATGGGCCCTTTCCCCTTTTCTCAGCCTCTGAACTAATCTGAACTCTCCAAACTAATTGATCTGAAAGTCTGTGACTTTTCTTTAAAAATTTTTTAAAATTACAATTACAAACGTAATAAACATGAACATTTTAAAATACAAACAAAAAAACTAGAAGAAAGGATTAGGAATGAAACTTGAAACTTACATTATAGTGGGTTTTTTTTTTTAAAGGGTACATTAAATTTCCCATGATAGTAACAAAACTATTCTGCTTCTCTGTGTCTCCTGAATGTCCTTTGGCTCTCCTGTATATTTTTGTGTATTTTAAAAATGTTTTATTGACATGAATTTCTTTTCTTGTTCTTTTCCCATTATTGCTGTGATGCACCTACCTTCCCTTGTAACAAAGAATAGACAAGGAAAACAAATCAGCACATTGGTTTGGTCAAAAAACATACATCTCATTTTGCACCTCTAGTCCATCACTTAGACGTGTCCAGTTGCTTTTTCAAGCATGCAAAGATCAATTTGGCCTAGAACAGGCTAGATGGGGAACAGTTGAAGAGAGAGATTGGGAGAACACTGAAGAGACGGGAGGAAACTAGGGGAGATAGGCAGGGCATGCACTGGGGAAGAAAGACAGTAGATGGGTGGATAGTAGAGGTGAGAGGCAGGGAATGGGTCTCTGGGAGGTGACTGGGGGACATGGGTGGAGGGGGGGAAGGCTGGAGGGAGATTCTGGGAAAGTTGTGGTGGAAAGGACTGGAAAAGTGGAGTTGATTTCTCAATTGGAATATAATATCAAATATATCTTATGGGGACATTGGGTTAGACTGGAGAGGATACTGGGAAGACAGGGGCAAGAGCTGGGAAACATTAGGAAGTGAAGTGGAAGAATTGAGGGTAAAGAAGGAAGGACTGAGAAAATGGGATTGATTTTTAATTCTGACTATGTGAATAACATGCAAATTGGACATAGACATATTCAAATGAACACTTAGATCTAAGAACCAATTCTGTGGGATGGCAATGCCAGTTCCTCCTCCTGTCACTTCAGGACCACTCCAAAAAGCTCCACTTCTTGGGTTAGCTGAATCTGGGGATTTCTGCTCTGGAAGTGGGGGGGAAACTTGGAGAAGATGGGAGTACCCCCCTAGGATAGCCTCCTCATTCCACAGTACCATCCTACTATCCACTGAAGGTAGCAGCAGCTAGGAATGAGGGAGAGGCACAGTGCCCTCAGGTTTAGTGGGCCCCCGAAAGGGGTAAGTGGGGAGGGGGGCTTCCCATCCTCCATGTCTCCACCAATGGGAGTCTCCATTGATGACCTCATGCCCCGGGCCCCAGGATTCCATTGGCTGTTTGATGCAGGGGCACCCGTTCCATCTGCGTCATAGCTGGGGATCTCCCGACTACCTTACTGAGATGTTCTGGAAAAAGGGGCGTCCTAGCACATAGTAGGCTCCCAATGAATATCTGTTGAATGAATCGAGGAATGAATGAATCAATGAAAGGAGGTGGCAAAACTCCGGAGTTCAGCACTGAGAGAAAGGGTCTGATTTGCATGAACCCATACAATGCAGGGTTGTAGACTTCACACAGAGGAAGTGTTCTAGCTCTCTACAGATCAAGGAAATGGGAAGGGGGCCGGACTTTATCCTAGAGCAAGGAAAAGAGAGTGACCAGAGCAAGGTATGGAGGGCTCCGGCGCCATGCTGAGTCTTCTAGAGCAGAATAATTTGGGGGAACCCGGTGACTCCCCAAAACCTGCTTCCCAGCCTCCCGGAACCGAGTTTGGAGAACACGCTTGGAGGACTTCTAATGGGCAGGGCCCAGTGAGGCCTCCTAGCTCTTCTAGCCAGCTCTGGCCTCTGCTTGGCGCTTGGAGCTTCAGCTTGAGGTCCTCCCTGCAACCTCCCTCCGGGACGCCCCAGGAGACTCGCCTCCCTAGGCATCGCGGCAGAGAAAGCGGGGGGAACTGAGTGGAGGGAAGGGAAAGCCGGGAGGTTGCGCGTACTAGTGTTTGCAGTCCTCATCCCCTTCCCTTTCCCATGCACAAGCATTCAAAGGATCTCTCTTCCCACCCTCCCATTCTCACTCTCAGCTCAAATTCAAACCCTGAATATCGTCTGAGTGAGGGAACCGAACGATCAGTGCAGGTGGAGGGGAAGCAGTGGGGACCGGCAGGGGTGTCTGTGGGCCTACACTGTATTTCTGAGTGTTATGTCTGCCTGAGTTTGTGGATGCGTGCTTTCCTGCGTGTCAGTGTGTGTCCGAATTTGTGAGAGTAAAGCGCCCAAGTGTGTTTATCTGGCCGCGTCCCTGTGTGTTGTACGCAAATGCGTTCTCGTTCTCCCCACTCGCGTACCAGACCTGGAGGGAACGAGCTAGCGAAAGAACTAGCGTTCCTGCTTGGTATGGGCAGCCTGGATCTCTGGGTCTCGGCACCTCCACCTCTCACCCCTCCCCCGCTGCGAGCTTGCGTGAGAATAGGACAACCACTAAATCCACTCCAGGCCCGGAGTTTGCCAGGGACCAGGGAGGCTATGATCCAGTCCCCCCATCCCATCCCCCCCCATAACCTCGGCCTGAGAGAAGTACTTGGGGGGCGTGCGGAGAAAGAACTGGGGGGGGCGGGAAAGAGAGAGAAAGAGAGAGAGAAAGAGAGAGAGAGAGAGAGAGAGAGAGAGAGAGAGAGAGAGAGAGAGAAAGAGAGAAGCGTTTCCATGGCAATACCTAGACATCCTCTCAGCTCCTCCTCTTCTCTAACTACAGGAGGAAAGGGACTCGAACCCAGCACTGGAGCTTCAAAAAGCTCATTCAGTGTTTTCTATTCCTTATCCTCCGGCTTTTCCCTTTCGGTCCACTCTATGGGGCCCTTCTTGTCTAGCAAAAGAGCGGACTGGGTAAGGGATAAGATTGGGGAGGGGAGTAATGGAGTACACAGTCACACTCACACTAATGCAAAGAAGCCACAACCACTTACAGGCTGCCGGTGACACCTCAAGACACGCGCAGAAGTGTGTGTGCGCGCGCACACAGACAGACAGACAGAACTAGGCCTAGGTGCGTTGGGGCTGGGAGGGCAGGGCCGGCTGTGTCTGTCTCTGCTGTGGTGGTGCCATTCTCCCAGCCTCCGGACAGAGCAATCGAATTAACACAGAGCTACAGCGGCGGTGTGAGCGCCGAGTGGTCCTGCCGGGAGGAGGCGGGAGACAGCTGTTCCTTCGGCGCTCTCCCCTCCCCGACTTTTACCTCTCGGAGGGATAGACCCAGGTGTCTGACCTGGGGGGCGGCCAAGGTGTGTGTGGCGAGGGAGGGGGCGGGCGGAATATGAATTTCTCTCACTTTGTCAGTCTACAGAAGGCGCCCCCCACTCCACCCACCACATCCTCGAGCCCCGCCCCATGTTCACACTCTCTCTCAAGCTGCAGCAGCCAGGCCCGAGCTAATCAGCACAACATCCACTTATCGATTTCGGGTTCCACTGCCAAGTAGCCTGGCACTGTGCCAGGAGAGGCTGAGGAGGAGGAATGGGGAGGCCCAGGGTGGAGAGCGTTGGGCCGGGGAGACCCAGGCAGGTGGAAGGTAGAAGGGAGTGGGAGGGAAGTGGAGAATGGGCAGAATCTTCCCCTAGTCTAGAGGGCAATGACAGGTTGGGGGGCGGGGAGCTCTGGGGTCCTCCCACCACGGCTCCATCCCCGTGTTCCTATAAAAGCCGAGAACAAAGGGGACCGAGCTAGTCGAAGGCTTTGATTTGACCCTACCCTCCACATTTCCAGACCAGACCTACGCCCCAGGTGCCCTCAGGGAAAGGAGGAGGGACACCTTAGTTTTTCTAGGCCTAGGCTTTGAGAAATACAGTCTTTCTTTAGCCCCCTGATCTTTCCCCAAATACAAGCTCAGGCCTCAGTGACTCCCTAGTGCCTAGACAGTGCCCCAAATAACTCCAGCAGTACCAGAGCATCTGTGGCCCCTTCCACCTGCTTCACATACACAGGAAGCTGAGGTGGGGGGAAGAGGGGAGAGAGGTGCCAACCTCCACAGCTGCTGTTGGCACCCATCCCATCCAGGCCCAGTGGGGTGCCCACCAAGGGCTGGCACAGACCATTTGAGCACAGCTGGCATGGAGGTCAGCCAGTGACAAGGTGGGAGTCCAGGACACTGGGGTTCTGGCAGTAGGGAAGAAGCCAGAGGGCAGAAGGGTGTGGTGTAGAGAAGGAAGGGGGTGGTTTATTGAAGGTTGAGTCCAGATACTTATAAAAATACAAATAAATGAAAATCAATCTCATATCAAGTCCGTCTTCCCAGAAGACACAAGAGAGTTCTCAGGTGGAGAACAAGGTAGTCCTGGGGAGTACCTGGAGGATCAGTGGGCTGGTTGACCAGGGCGAGGGGGGAATCGCCTTACTCTCAGACTAGTAGAAGTCTTGAAGCCCCCAGGGGACCTAGGTGTTTCATCCCCCTTCTCCAGGATTGGAGTTGGGTTTATTTTCCAGAAAAAATTTCCAGTCTGAAGAGAGAAGGATACCATGACCAAGGATACCATGACCAGTTGCAGGCAGTTGGGAATGATAGCATTCACCTCAGTGTGAATCCAAGAATTGGTCCAGTCTCAGTATTTGTCCAGATATCAGTCCATGCACTCAGAAATTGTGGGGATAGCTCCAGCTAATTCTGACCCTATCCCCCAAAGATCAGAGGGAAAACTCCTGCAATGCTCCATACCAAGAGCAGTGCATAACAATCCTGGAGCCTTTTAACCCTGCAATACCTCCCTATTCCCCAAGTGGTGACTTCCTCACCCCTTTCCAGGCAGATGGAGCCATGCCTCCAGGCTGAAGCCAGTGATCAGGGGCATGCACAGAGAGGCTAGATCTGGGGGTGATGGCCAAGGGTGGGGTAGGGTCAGGACTAAGCTCAGAGTCCCCGAAGGAGGCGCAGAAGTGGCAACAGCAGCAAGAGGAGGAGGCAGAGGGGACTTGGGGCCCGGCCTCCTTGCCATGCCGGTGTGCTGCCCCCACCTGGACCCAAGGACTCTGTAACACACAGGCAGAGGGAGAGGGTTGGAGGGGTGATTCTACCATACTTAATCCCATCTCCCCTTCCTATTCCTCCCACCCATAATTCTGCCCCTTGTTTAAGAGCATGCCATTTCATGATTCTATTTCAGTTTTCTTATCTATATAACAAGGGTGTCAAACTATAACAATAACAATAAATCACACCATCATTTGACACTTTAAGGTCTAAAGGTTTCCTCACAACTATGTGAGATAAGTAGTGTCATCCCCATTTTAGATATGAGGAAACTGAGGTTCAAGTGGTAAAGTGACTGACCCCAGTTCACACAGTAAGTATGGGGTCAGATTTTGAACCCTGGTCTCTAACCTTGAAGTCCATTTCAACTCTATAGATAATTTCTAAAGTCCTTCATGCATTCCCCCTCCATTTACCCATTTTCATCTTGCTACCTCTTCAGTTTCCTATTCAATTCAGCAGATCCTTCAAAGCCAATCATGAGTATAACACACATCTTCTTCACCTGTAATACTCCAACCCTCTAGTCTCCCCAGAGTCTGGCATTAGTGCTCTAGAGTGCACCAAAACAGAGGCCAGAGGTCCTGTCATGCCTTTGACTTACCCCTAGAGACCCCATTCCCTTGGCGCAGCACAAAAGGAGGTGCGGTGGTCAGCACTTCAGCTAGGGAAAAAGAAGCCAGAGATGGGGATAGATTCCAAATATCCCAGTTCCTAGATGAACTTCTTCATTCCCAGAGATCATTCAACACCACCCCTAACCCCCCATACACCCTGCTACCCTATATGAGGCATTTCCCACTCCCCAGGAATTGGGAAAACATCCATCAAAACACTTACTGGTTTCTTTGCAACACACTGACACCTGCAGCCTCAGACACCGGCCAGAGCTTTCTGGGATTGGGACAGCTATGGTAGGTAAACAGGTGGGCAGGGGAAAAAAGGTTTGTTCATGCTTTTTGACTATGCTTCAAACTCTCACACTCCTGCCCCTCTCTTTTCTTAGCTTTTTATTTATCAGTCTCCTTCCCAAGATATGTTGCTCTCTAATTTCCACCTTTTCTTCTTGCCACAAATTATCCAGAACCCTTTCCTCAACTTCTTTTATTTCACTTTTAGATCTCTCCTCTTCTCCCCCAACTTAACTATGTCCATTCACTACCACTTCCTTAGGGGCTTAGTTTGCTCTCAAACTCTTGATACCTATCCTTCATTGCACTCAATCTAGTTCCCTTTTCTCCTTTCTAGGCTCCTCTCCTTGGGCCTGGATGGTGTCAGGCTTTGAGGTAGGAGGACATCTCTACTAGATCTGGTTTCCCTTAAGTCCCACAGTCTACTCACCATGGCCCCTCCATTTTACTTACAGATATAGTAGTAGGTTTCTCCTGGCAGGAACTCAAAACCCAACGAGAAAGGTGTGAAACGCTGGATTTTCTCTGAAAATCGGACTGGGCCAAAAGGAGCAAAAGGGCGGGCGCACTCCCAGCGCTTGAAGGCTCCTGTGCCCCCAGCTTGGCATGTCTCATAGCCAGCCAAGTCCACCATGAAAAGAGCAAAAGTCTCAGGGCCCTCAGGTGGCCCTGGCCCATCATAATGTGGACAGAAGATGTCTAGATAATCGTTGAGGCCCAGCTCCACTGCTGCGTCTCCTCGAAGCAACCTGTGGACATGAATCAGACATTAGGGCTTCAGGGTAATCTCTCAGGGGATGGGAGCTAAGGAGCAGAGAAGATTTGGGGGTGCCTCTAAATGGCCAGACTGCCCTCTCCCAAAGGGCTTAATAATCTCCCTTTTGAACATAACTACTCACCATATATGCCTGAATATACACTCACAGTGTAAAGGCTCCCAAATAGAGCATCAAACTGCTCCCCATAGAGAGAGCTCCCCTTGGTAGACACAGGGGAAAAAAAGCAGAGCAAGAAGCAGAAAAGGAAAGAGAGAGATGCATAAAACCACACAATGACTGAATTGTGGAAAGACAGAGATAGGAGATGAAAATACAGACAGGCAGAGGCAGACTTTTGGACCTTGACCTGCAACTGTAACATAGGGAAACAGTGAACCACAGATTGGGTAGTGACTGACATGGGGGAGGGGGTGACATCCAGTAGATACCACCAAAGATATTAGTCCTTCCTGTCAGTCTGGCTCCATCTGGTAAACCAGTACCCCACCCCCACCCCAGACCTCCCACTGCCCTTCCCTCTGGGCCATTCAAGTTATTCTGGGGCCACCTAAACCTTAAAAGGGTGGGAACCAATCCTCACAAGCTCCTACCTACTCCAAAGTTGCAGTTTAGGTTGGGCCAGGTTGACTTGTTGGAATTCTAGATATTGACAGATACTAGGATGGGGAAAAGCAAGACATTCTCCCAGAGAAACAAAGAGCAGAGAGAGAGAAAGAAAAAGCTAGAGTAGTATGGTTGGAGAGGTATAGGAAGAGAGACAGACAGTGAAACAAATACAGAGATAAAATAAATTGGAGAGAGGGAAACATAATTCGAGACAGAGACGAAGTTGGACAAGGGGGCAGAGAAAGAAACTTAAAAGGATTAGACAGGCACATTCTTTCACACACATACACATACAATACATAATCTGAACACCCCAGCTCTTTCCTTCTTCTCCATACATCGAAACCTCTGGGGCCAGCGAGAGGTTGGGGGGAAGTCGAATTAAGAGGTTAGCAAGGGGGGCGGGGCCTGGAATCTAGGAGATGGACCCCCCTCCACCCCCCAGAACTTGTGCCGGTATCCCACCCCAGGGCTTCACCTCCTCCCGCCCCCTCTCCACGTGGGGGCCAGGGTTACCGGGGCAGGGGTGCTAGCGGTGATGGGGGCTAGCCTCGCCCCTCCCCCCCACAACCAGCTCAAACAAAGGAGCCCTAGCGCGCGGCTGTCCGGCCCAGGCGGGGACTCGAGGGGAGGGAATGGAAAGTGCACGCTCTGTCCCAGAGGTGAGCTGGCCCGGCTTGGATAAGCCCAGTTTGTTCCGGCTACCTGGGGTTACTGGAGTTCCAATAGACGGCGTGGCGGAGGCCGGACCCCCCCCGGAGCGGGGACCCGAGGAGCGAGGCCCAGAGGACTGTCCGCAACAGAGGCAGAAGCCGCATCGCCCCCGGGTCTAGTCTGGCCCGGCTCGGCTTGGCCGGGCTCCGGAGTCCGGGCGAGCAAGGTACAAAGTAGACCGGGGTTGGGGGGTGGGGGGGGGAGGATACAGGGGGAGGGGGGAATGACGGGGAGGGGGGAGCAGAATAGAATGAGAGGCCACGCCCCGGATAACTTTCCACCAATGGGGAGGCGGCTCCACCTAATCCGACCAACTCCGAGTTAACCCTTTACTAGCCTCAGGCTCCCCAGACACGCCCCCAACTAAGGTTGAGCTTTGCTGCTTCGTGTGTGTGTGTGTGTGTGGGGGGGCAGCTACAGTTCCCAGGGTAGGACTGCTTATGTGGAGTGGGCGTCTGGGCACGTCCCCATTGCCCAGAGAGAGGGAAAAGAAGGATGGAACAAGAATCAAGGCTTCCAGCTCCATCGGGGTCCCAGCTCGCTCCCTTAGCTCATCACCCATACCCCTCCTTCTTTGCTGGGCTCCGAGTGGAGCCAGTGCGACCCAAGGTAGCATCTGATCTGTCTCCACTACCACTCTTACCCAGGGCAGGAAGGTGGGGGGGGGAGGGAGGCAATTGCCCCAGTCCGGACTTCGGTGTAATGAGGAGGTGTCAGCGGCACAGTACAAAGCACCTTTGTTCCTGAGCCCAAGGGAAGGGGCGGGAGGAAAGGGGGAGGCAGGTGCGCTGCCCCGGGACCGTGGGAGCCGCCTCACCCCGCCCCGCCCCACCTCCAGGCTTCTGAGAGCCCTGTAGCCTCTCCCTAGTCCCTCCGCAGACCTCTAGTTGGGGGATGTCAACGGACCGGGAACAGTGCAAGCACCTTAGGCCATCACCAGGGCATCCTAACCGCCCCTGGTGCGAGCCTCAGGGCAACAATAGTTAATAGTTATATTGCGATATAATTCCCAATCATACAATGGTGAGGGACAAGAAAAGGGCTGAAGGATCAGTCCAAGTCTTCAAGCCCACACAGGCTGTGTTGAGGCAGATCGCCGACCCTGGCGTCCGAATTCCACCTCAGACAGGTGCAGGCAAGCGAGGAAACCCAGCTTCTCTCCCCCCCCCCGCCCCGCCTTCTCCCGGAGCCATTCTCCGGCCGGGGCAGCATCGTCCTCTGGCGGTCGGAACGGGAACCTCCAAGTTCCCCAGTCCTGGACAGCAGAGGGGGTGAGCCCAGGCTTCTCAGAGCAGACAGAGGCTGGAAGGGAGGAAGGCGCTTCCAGGTCTCAGTTTATTGCAGCTGAGCCCAAGCAGCGCCGGGCCCACTCCCATCCCCTCCATACCTGGTCCCTCTCCCTGCCTCCCCCCCATCCCAGAGTCAACAGTGCGGGGGTTCCATCTCATGCTTCGCCTTCAGCAACTCCAATAGTGCCATAAGAATGCTGGTCCTCGGCTTTTGCTCGAGGCTCCTCAGTCCTAGCAGAGTGGGCAGGCTTCACTTCCACAGGCTCCTCAAGTTCGATGTCGGGGAAATGGGGCCTGCAGTGACTTCTCGGTGATCTCACTGTCCCAGGATGAAGTCAGACGCGTAGAGCTGCCCCAGAGGCCGTTGGGGGCGGAGGCGCAGGTCTTGGGATAAAGGGGCAGAAGAAAAAGGGGAGTGTGGATATCCTTCCACCAACGGGACATTTCCTTCATCTTCATCCTCAACCCTTCCCCTCACCTACCTGGAGGGCACGACCAGGGGCACCGCGCTGTCTTCTTCGGGCCCTTCGCCTGAGAGAAGCCGTCCCTGGGGGTAGGAGGGCAGCGGCTTTCTTGGAGGTGGGGGCTTAGTAGGCCCCTGAGACTGCCAGAGAGAAGGCAGAATTTACCAGGGAAATGGCCCCAAGAGAACACCCACCATCCCCAAACAAACCTATTGCTGCCAACGGTACCTCCTGAGGTACCTCCGCTAGGGAGGGGCCTGGCACTGTGCCCAAGGGGCACCAGGGGGCACCTTGCCCCAGCAACCACTGCCACAGGCCATCAGTGCTGAAGCCCAGGAGGGGGGAGGGGCTGTGCCCGCCCCCACACCGTTACCTGTGGGCTCCTCACCACCGGGTCGGCGGGTAGTGGACGGGTGGGGGGGTTGGGTCGATCAGTCAGTGCAGCCTGGACAGAGAGAGCAGTGCCAGTGAGGAAGAAGCCAGTGGGGACAATGAGCATGCCCTGGTTGTGGGAGTATGGCATTCAGAGGCTCCTCTCAATAGGGTTCCATGCTAACATGCACTCTTAGGCTGGGATGGGTACATGCGCAAGGATAAGAATACATGCGGGGCACAGTTTGGCACCAGGGATTTCAGGTACTAGAGTAGTGGGAGAAAGAGAAAAGGGGGAGTAATTAAATAATTTGAGGGCAGGTAGGCCGTAGTGCCACAATGTACCACCAGGTGGAGATACAGACCAAATTAGAAAACCTGTACTCTTTCCACTGCCTTATGGGCACAGAGGGGGACCCTTTCCCACCCAAAGTCATAGCTGGGAGGGGCAGGGGTAGGTGTTTTCTTTCTCCATCCTAGTTCCTCATGTAGGTGGGTAGAAGTTCAGGCTCACTAAATTCCCATGTCCCTCTGCCCACCTTGTGCTGGGCCTTGCCCCTTGCTCAGATTTACCTGTAGTCTTTTAGGCACAGGGTCCGGCGGGAGCGGCCGGGAGGGGGGATCAGGGTGACCAAGAGCACCAGACTGCGGAAAGAGCAGGAGAAGCAGAGGGAGCACAGAGAGAGGACAAAGAGGGGTGGTGGAAGAAGAGAACAGTGGTGGAGGGGAGGATCAGAGTTACAGTCAGAGATACTGAGGGGTGTGGTAAAAATAAGTGGGTTGTCTCCAGTAGTGGGGCAGCCAGGACCTTAGGACAGCAGGGGCATCATGCAGTTACTCAGCCACATTCAAGAATGAGGGGGGTGCCAGGCTGTGGGCATGCAAACCAACCCCCTCCCCCCACTTCATACAGTCACTAGAGAGTATCCATTCTAGTGCACCTGGGATGCAGGAGCACTTTTCAGTCCCTCTGATGTTTGTCCTGTGCACATGGGGCCCCAAGCAGTGCCAATTTCTTTTACCCAATCCTGCAGTCAGAGGACATCTGGGCCTCCAGATCCAGGGTGGCATCATTGAAGTGCCAATGAGTAGCAGGCACAACACCCTCATCTCAATTAACGAGTTGTGCCAAACAACACTTCCATTGGTCACCCATCTTAGGTTTCCCACCCCAGGTAGGATATGACTCCTCAACCTCCTTGGAGCTGGTAATTTGGCATCAGGGCAGTGTCAGCCACTCTCAGACAATCCAGAACCTGCTGAAATAGGCACTAAGAATCCCCTTGAGGGTCATGGAGGGGAGGGTAACCCAGCTGGACTTATGGCTGAGTAGACAAGTGTCCCTGCCCCTTCCCTTGACAGGTACCAGGAGCTCACCTTGGTGCTGGGCATCAGCTGGAGCTCTGTTGCCTGAGTCCTCTGAGGTGGACCTGGACGCTCAGGGGGCCCAGATGGGGATGTCCTGGGGTAGGTGAAGGGGAAGGAAGTTTCAGATCCTGTTATCTACCCTCTCAGTACCAGATACAATTGCCTGAGAAGGTTAACCCTTTGTGAAACCCTTAGAGACCAAAGAAGGGCGTGTAGGGAACATCTTGTCACCAAGGGGTGGAGAAGAAGCAGTGAGACAGGGACTATTTAGTCTGGTTGTGAGGAAAGTGCCCTGCTTACCTGTAACCATTGGCACAGACACCCCCGTGGAGAAATCGAACCTGAGCCACAGCAGTGTCCCTACAGGGGTTAGGGGGATGGGAATTAAGGGGAGATGTTGGAGGAGGATGGGAGCTGGGTCAGTGTGGGTAAGGGAATGATGAAGACAGATGGTTAGAGGTGGCATAAGGGACAAGGAGGGGGAAGGGAAGGCTCAGGGACAGAGGCCTTAGTGGAAGCTATAGGTCTGATACCTATACTGGTTACTGGTCCCCTTAAACTGGCAGAGTCTCCGGCGTAGATGGGTACGGTGCCAATAGCAAGCTCCAAGAAGCATCAGCAGGGCCAGAAGGAGGAGGCTGAGGAGTAATCCTGTAGTCAGGCCACCATTTGCTGTAGGACATGAGGCCAGACCCAGGAAGAAGAATGGAGATCAGAAGTCAATAGGTCAGAAAAAGGGGGTGAAGGTGGAAGTGGCCACTATTAACTAGCTAGGGGTACTCTTAACCTTTCTAGGCCTCACTCAGCTTCTTCATCTGTAAAATGGGAGAATTCAAGCAGATGATCTCTAAGATCCCTACTAGCTTTGACATCTTGGGAATCTAAAACCTGGGCCAAACAATCAATCTCTTTCAGGTACATTGCTCTTCCCTTCCCCTCTTGGAGCCCATTTCCACTGAGTACCTTTGGGCTTCTGGCCGAGGGCCCCACTGTCCACGCTGCCCCCAAAGCCTTGGTTTGAGCAATCAGGTGGTGCCCAGCCCTGATCACAGTGGCAATGTCCATTGCTATTGCAGACCTGAAGAAGAAAGAGCAAAGGAAGGAAGGAAATAAGCATGTATTAAGCAACTCACTGTGCTGAGCACTTTACAAATATTACCTCATTTCATCCTCACACAAGAACACTGGGAAATAGGTGCCAGCAGCATTTTACAGTGAAAGAAACTGAGAGGTTAAGTGACTTGCCCAAGGTTACATAGCTACTAAGTGTCTGAGGTAGGATTTGAACTCAGGTCTTCTTTGCTTCAGGCCCAGTGCTCTATCCACTGTTCTACCTAGCTGCCTCTGAAGGTGCTTGAGAGAGGAAGGGCACCTAGGAAACAGTTTCCCTAATGTTATTCCAGCTTCAGAAAACATGAAAATGTCAAAACAAACCATCAGGAGTTTTGTGGAGGTCAAACAAAGAGGATTTGCAGGAACAAGGGTGCACAGAGCTAGAGAAACCACGATCTCCTTAAATTTGCCCCACAGTCTGTTCTTGGGGGTCAAGGTCTCAGGAATACCCCCCATCCTCTGCTTACCCCATGCCCATGGCACTTGCTCCGACACTCCTCTGCCCCCAAAAGTTCCACTGGCTGGCACCGCTGATCAATGCATACCTGCCAGGGATGGAGAAGGAGGAAGACACAGATT